GATAGAAAAACAGCATGAGCAACAAGTCAGATCAGCCCACTCTTTCGATTGTTGACCGATTGCTTGGAATAGATTGGTTTGCCTCTGTTGGTGAGCCATTCGATAGCCAGCCTGCTATCTCTGTTCAAACGGTCCATTCGTGGAACGAAGCAGTGCAGGAGTGTACGAGTGAGAATTGGGCCGACACTCAACTAGAAGCCAGAAATATGCTCACAAGGGAGCTTAGCACTAAGCACCGTAGTGAGTACCGCAAGTGGAATCAACATGTGGACCACGCAAAGGAACTGCTCACTCTCGACCTAGTGCAATTGGATCGCCGAGTAGCTGAGTTGGGAATCGATCCGGTCGTTGCATCAAGCGCAAAGTGGGATGTTATTGGCGCTGTGATGGAAGAGACGTACGGCGAGCTTTCCTCGTTCCGGTTCTTCACCTCGCTCATCGACATCTATGTAGGAGGTCATTTTCCATGTGGTTGGCGCGGTGAAGTTCCAGGGAGCGAATCCGATGTCTGGCCCCGAGGTGAAGTAGTTGTTTACTGATCCGCCTACATCCCCTTAATCCGCGTTCATCCGCGTCCCATTCTTCACCGCGTCGACACGACGCGACTCGCTTTCTCTGCGTCCTCCGCGCCTCCGCGGTGAAAGAAGAACAACGTGCCCGCTGTCGAGCAGTACCTTAAGCCTGAAGTTATCCGCCAGATCAAGCGGCTCGATCTGCGCGCGCAGTTCATCGTGAAGGGTTATCTGCAGGGGCTGCACGCTAGCCCGTTTCATGGGTACTCGGTCGAGTTCTCGGAGCACCGTAAGTACACGCAGGGGGACGACCCGAAGGACATCGACTGGCTCGCATACGCCAAGACCGACCGTTACTACATCAAGAAGTTCGAGGCCGAGACCAACATTACCGGGTGGCTGGCGATGGATTTGAGCCGGTCGATGGCGTACTCGCACGGCCCGACTCAACGCGGCAAGCCGGGGCTGACGAAGTTCGATTACTCGATCTGCATCGCGGCGGCGCTGGCGTACTTGATGATTGGCCAGCAGGACCCCGTGGGGCTCGCTGCGTTCGATCAGAAGATCCGGCACTCCTTGCCACCCAAGAGCAAACGGACGCAGCTGGCGACGCTGCTCAGCCTTCTGGCGCGGCTCCAGCCGACCGGCGAGACCGACATCGGCGGTAGCCTCACGCAGCTCGCCGCGATGCTGCGGCACTCGAGCCTGGTGATGATCTTTAGCGACCTGCTGACGGACGAAGAACCGGTGCTCAAGGCGTTGCGTCGCCTCCGCCACGGCGGCCACGACGTGATCCTGTTCCACGTCCTCGACGAGGCCGAGGTCAAGTTCCCGTTCCGCGGCCTCACCGATTTCGAAGAGCCTGAGACGGGCGAGCGCCTAGAACTCGACGCCGACGGCTTCCGCGCCGAGTACCGCGCGAGCGTCGAAGAGTTCCGAGAAACCTACCGCCGCGAGTGCCTCGAATCGGGCGTCGATTACGTGCCGCTGGATACGGGGATGCCGTTTGATCGGGCGCTGACGGAGTACCTTGTTCAGCGGCGCAGGAGGGGATGATGATTGAATGACGAAGCACGAATGACGAATGACGAACCTGCCGGAGGGCTCTAGCGGCTCCGACAGGTTCGTCATTCGTGCTTCGTCATTCGTCATTTCTCTTGGCTATGGCCTTTCTAGCACCAGCCTTACTCGCCGGCGTTCTTTTGATCGGGATTCCGATCGCGCTGCACTTGCGCCGTCGACGTGATCCGGTGCGGGTGGAGTTTCCGGCGTTGCGGCTGCTCAAGCGGAATCGGCATCGCACAGAGACACAGCTGCGGCTGCGGCGGTGGGTGCTGCTGGCGCTGCGTTGCTGTTTGCTGGCGCTGTTGGCGGCAGCGCTCGCGCGACCCTTGCTCAAGCCGCCGTCGGCGGACAGCGGGGCGGCGGCGGACGGGCCGGCGGGTGAGGGCGTGGGGCTGGCGCTCGTGATCGACAACGGGCCGAACGCGGCTTATCAGAGCCGCAACGAAACGCGGCTCGAAGCGGCGCAAGAGCTGGCGTCGAAGTTGCTCTCAGGTTTGCCCGGGGATACGCCGGTGGTGCTGGCGGACCGGGCGGCCGGGGGCGGGGCTTCGATGTTGGAGCCCGCGGCCGCGGCGGCGCGGGTGGATCGGCTGCGGGTGGGGGGCGCCGCTAAGCCGCTAGCGGCGGCGGTGCGCGACGCGGTTGTGAGGCTAGCGGAGACGCCGGCGGCGCGGCGCGAGGCTTATGTCTTTACCGATCTGTCGGCGGGGGCTTGGGACGAGGCGTCGCAGCGCACGGTCGCCGCGGTGCTGGAAGAACACCCGGGCGTTGCGCTAAGGCTGGTCGATGTGGGCGTGGCTGAGCCGCGTAACGCCGCGATCGATGACCTGCGGATGCCGAGCGAGTCGCTCGCCGTTGGCGAGGCGCTGGCGCTCTCGGCGTCGATTCATCTTGTCGGTGAGTGGCGTGAACCGCTCGCGGTGCAGTTGTGGGTCGATGGCGAGAAGGGGCCTGTGAAGCGAGACGAGCGGCTTGTCGAACCGAAGGGCAAGAGCGTGCCGGTCGAGTTCACGCTATCGGGTTTGAGCGAAGGCTTTACGACGGGCTTCGTGCGCGTCGTCGCCGGTGACGCGGCGCCCGACGACGACGCGCGGTACTTCGCCGTCGAGGTGCGGCGGCCGCGATCGATGCTGATCGTCGCGCCCGAGCAGCGCGACGCCGTCTTCTTCCGCGCGGCGATCGACCCGTCGGTCATGGACCCGAGCGTGGCGCCGCGGTTTGAAACGGGAGTCATCGCGTTCGACGCGTGGCCGCGGCAGTCGCTTGCCGGTTACGACGCGATCGTGATGATCGACCCGTCGCCCACGGTCGAGCGCGGCCGCGGCTGGCGACGGTTGTACGACGCGGCGATCGGCGGCGCGGGCATTGGCGTGTTCCTCGGCGGCGAGGCGACGCTCGACGATTTCAATTCGCCCGACGCCCAAGCCTTGTTGCCGGCGCCGCTTGAGTGGCGTTCGCGCGATTCGACTTACTTGCGGCCCACGTCATTCGCGCATCCGGCGATCAAGCCGCTCGCGCCGTACGCCGACGCGATCCTCTGGCAGACCTTTCCGGTTTATCAGCGGTGGGAACTCGGCGACTTGCGCGAAGGGGCCGCGGTCGTGGCGCGCTACGCCGATGGTGGGCCGGCGATCGTCGAGCAGTCGGTGGGCCGCGGTCGGGTGCTGATGATGACGACCAGCGTCAGCGACCGATACAATCCCGCTGTTGACGGTGGTTACGAGTGGAATCGCTTACCGACAGGCGACGACCCGTGGCCGTTCGTGTTGCTGGCGCGGTCTCTGGCGGACTACCTCACCGGCGCCGCCGAGACACAGCTCAGCTACATCGCGGGCGAGACGGTCTCGGCGCCGCTGCCGACGGGTGTCGAACTTCCCGGCTACGTGCTCCGCACGCCCGGCGGCGAAGCGGTGCGGCAGTCGGTCCCGCCGGGGCGAAGCGAGCTGGCGATCCCCGCCGCCACCGAGCCCGGCCCCTACCGCCTCGAAGCGGGCGCCGACCTCGACCGCCGTTTCGTGGTGAACCTCGACCCGCGCGCGGGCCACGTCGAACGCGTCGCGTTCAGCGAGTTGCAAACCTCGCTCGGCAAAGACCGCGTTGAGTTGATCCGCAATGAGGAAGAGCTGACCGCGTCGATCGACCTGGGCCGTGTCGGCCGTGAGTTGTACGGTTGGGTGCTGGCGCTCGTGGCGGCGGCGCTGGTGGGCGAGCAGTGGGTGGGGAATCGTTACTACCGACAGACGAAGGAAGACCTGTAATTGTGCGACCCGTAAATGTGGGAGGCGTCTCCAGACGCC